AAAAATCTGGAAACAACGTAATCCCTCGAAAGCATTGATCACAACAAAATTACATGAAAATTGCAGATTTGGTTTGATTGAGTCTGTACATGAGGAATAATAAATAATTGCAACATCACTCACGCCACCTAGCACCGGCTTCAGCGGTACTCTATTCTCAACACTTAAAGATCCTGTAACACATTTTTTTCATGGTTTTATTTCAAAGATATGATGCTCACATTAAGATTTGTTAATATTTTAAGTTCCAATAAGCATTATTTATAAAGATATTACCGAATTTAAAATTTCATGTAAATAAAGGGAGGTAATTAGAAATTTATTTTCTATAAAATCTTAGCCAAAGGTTCCATAAGAAATGAATGCATATAATTTATTGATTAAATATAATGTGCATAAATATTTGCTGTACACATTTTACATATTCTTCGGTGTTTGAAAATTGTTTTATTTGCATAATTATATACATATATAATGTTTTGCAAGTGTGGTATACAAACACTAACAATATCAATCACAAAACATACAGGATCTTTAATAGTGCTGGCATCAATGATCCCGAAGGACCAGAAAAATATAACAACACTGAAGTGAAGTACGGGGCAACTTTTTACAGCTGCCACACGGTACTTGACACCTGCTGTTGTGAAGAATAAAATATAGTAAAACAGAATCCCTAAAGAAAGCCCAACACGACAATATTGAAAATGTTGCAGGCTCGGTTTGATTGAACCCGTTCATGGACGGTACTGGAAAATGCAAGTTACCGTCCACGCCCCTAGCACCGGCTTAAGCAGAATTCAACATTTAACACGAAAACGGTGAAATTTTGAATTTAGAAACATCCGCAGATGTGTTCATACGGCTGTTATCATGGAACCTTCAATGTGACACAGTAGTGCCATTCCATGAAAAGCGGCGTATGTTCCCCAAGTAAAAGAATGCTTTTGCCCTAAACGAGAATACAATGGGCGGAACTAAATAAAATGGAAATTTGAAAGGGGATCTGAGGTTATGAAGCCTCATTATCAATAGAAATTGAGGTTTATCTCCCATACGATTCCGGCCCCTAGAAAATATTACAACCTTTGTTTTGTCAGATCTCGAGTTGACTTTTAAATTCCAAATCATATTCTAGCATAGCATTTAATGCAAGGTGAAGCGCATCTGCATTTTCTGCTAAAATTACAGTATCATCAGCATAAAGGAGCAGAAAAAGTCTGAAAAATACCTCAAAATCCTAATTACTTAATAAGCTTTTCACATCATCAGCAAAGTGTATATAGACCAGCATACTTTTCAGACATAAACTCTGCAAGATCATTTAGAAATAACGAAAACAACACGAGTGAAAGATTTTCACCTTGTCTTACGCCAGCATTACTTGTAAAAAAAATGAAATCTTATTACCAGCTTTTATACATGACTTGCTTTATCATACATATTATGCAAACTTTTCAAAAAATTACAACTAATATTATTCATGAGCAGTTTTTGCCATAAGACAAATCTATCAACAGAATCAAAGGCTTTACGGAAATATATAAAACAACAATATAAATTTTTACCTCTTGCTAAATAAAAATCAACCAACATTTTCAGAGAGAATATATATGACCAATTGTACTATAATTCTCTCTTAAACCAGCTTGACTTTCACATAAAATATCATATGACTCTAGATACTTATTCAGACGGTTATTTAATACAGTAGTAAAGAGTTTACCAAAAACAACTTAGTATAGTTATGCCCCTGTAATTATCAGGGCCATTTACATCACCCTTATTTTTATACAATGTTAAAATCACTCCTTTACTCCATATCTCTGGGAAAATACCATATTCAAGAGTAATATTAAACAATTTGCAAAATAAAGGAAGCATAACAACTTCAGAACTTTTCAAATACTCATTGAAAATGTTGTCAACAACTGAACCATTCTTTAAAGATTTTATGGCTGATGAAATTTCTGATTCGAACAATGGTGCATTCAACTCCTCATTTAATAACTGAAAGTCTTTAAGATTGACATCACCATACTGTGCTTACTAAAATTCTCATAAAAACCTCACTAGAAATTTTATTCCTTTCGCTTGAATATGTGATTAAAAGAGCACAGTAAGATTTAGGATCCAGGTTTTGTATATCTTTAAACTTTTTGTTAACATCAGCATGAAATGACTTAAACTTAACATTGACTTCCTTTTTGTAACGTTTACTGCTTGTTATCAAAGTTTCATAGTTTGTAGTAGAGCGAAACCTTTGGAGCTTCTTCTTTGACCAAGATAGGTTTAAAGATCCTGTATGTTTTGCGATTGATATTGTTACTGTGTGTATACTACACTTGCAAAAAGTTTTATATGATATAATTATGCAAATAAAACAATTTTCTAACATCAAAGAATATGTAAAATGTCTACTGCAAATATTTGTGCACATTAAATTTAATCTATAAATTACATGCATCCATTTCTTATTGGAAAATTTGACTTAGAATTTATAGAAAATAAATTTCTAATTACCTCCCTTTATTTACATGAAATGTTAAATTGGGAAATATTTTTATAAATAATGCATATTGGAACTTACAATATTGACAAATCTTAATTTGAGCATCATATTTATGAAATAAAACCATGACAAAATTGTGTTACAGGATCTTTAACACCTTCATCCTCATCAACTATTTCTATATCTTTATCTATAACATTTGACAAACATGAAATAGAATTAGATGAGCCAATACAAAATTCAATAGAGCGATGTACATCCGAATACAGAGGATCATAATCCAGAATATCAAAGTGCTTCACTCTTAGAAAATTTTCACCCGATAATAAAACATAATCAATAACATTCATTGCCAGATATGCATGTGTTTGTACCAATGTAAGCATCTTTTCCACACCAATCATTGGCAATATATAAGCATGTACTCCTACAAATATCAACAAGTCTTTTACCATAATTATTGGTTTTGCTCACAGGAACCCGAAATTATATCCCAAACAAAAAATAACGCTTTAAAAAATCCCATATATAGGGCCTATATACTATAAAGTTTTTTTCTGTACGAAATCTGCTGTGGTCATAGTATTATTTTTACGATAGCTTTAGCTCTTAAATTTGGTTTGCTATTGCTAATCATGGTCATGCAACTACATAGTTAGGTAAAGAAGCAGGCGCTTGTTTTGGTTGAGTCTATTATGTTGTTTTAGGGGGGGGGGGTGTTGTCATACACAAATTTACATTTTTTATGCATTTATTTTTTTCCCACTGATTGTTATTATCTTAAATGCTTCTGGGATTGTTGTTTTATCAATTCATTTGTAAATAAGATCGTTATATGTCTATTTACGGAATAATTTTAATGAACACGAAATTAGTTCACAGCTACATGTGCATTGATAACGTAATAGTTTAAGACAATGAAAACACAACAATATTATTACAATCAAGCAGAGAAAAAGAGTAAATCGATAATCTTTATGTAGCAAACAAACTTTGAATTGCAAGTATTTTTTCATATCTTTTCGGCAGGATAAACTGTCCGAGGAGGGCCAGGCATTTTCGTATCGTAAAATGGCTGCCATTTACAGTATCAAGTGATTATCCCAAGCACCACCGCGACTTAGCGCGGGAATTATAAATATAGCTAACCTCGGCGCGTCGCATAGGATGGAAAATACCTTATTCATATTTTATTGTAATAAATAGTTACAAACTGTGTCTTTCGGGTTTTTTTTTATCAATATATAACCAATAATGATGCTAATATGAATAAATAATAATATCTCAAATCTGCGACAATTATTTACCTTTACCTTTTGAAATTCTACCTTTAGTGTATTGAAAAGGTTTTTAATTTCCTGTAATTTTATTTTGTGATTATGCCTCAAAGCAGTCAATTGACCGTGAATTTTCTTTTCATATTTTGATTTCCTTGAAATCATTTTCTCATCTGAAGGCATGCAACTTTAATATGATGATACATTAATTACATTCCATGAAAATGTTTAAAGATATAAAATATCTCATGACATGTTCGTTCATTTTACATAACACTTAAATGCAGCAAACATAAAAAGTCTTCACAAGAAGTAGTACAGTATGCAATCGTACCTATATTACATACGAATGTAGATCTATGTAATATTTTTCTTGTTTATAGTATATACATGGGAGTTTTTTAAAGCGTTATTTTTTTCGGTTTGGATAGAATTTCAGGCTCCTGTGGTTTTGCTTAAAACCAAGCTTGCTGTTTTTTTCTTTTTGGTAGTAATGGTGTCTTTACTGTTGTTTGAAACTGTATCAAGTGATTATCCCAAGCACCACCGCGACTTAGCGCGGGAATTATAAATATAGCTAACCTCGGCGCGTCGCATAGGATGGAAAATACCTTATTCATATTTTATTGTAATAAATAGTTACAAACTGTGTCTTTCGGGTTTTTTTATCAATATATAACCAATAATGATGCTAATATGAATAAATAATAATATCTCAAATCTGCGACAATTATTTACAATGAAATTAGGTCTACCTTTAGTGTATTGAAAAGGTTTTTAATTTCCTGTAATTTTATTTTGTGATTATGCCTCAAAGCAGTCAATTGACCGTGAATTTTCTTTTCATATTTTGATTTCCTTGAAATCATTTTCTCATCTGAAGGCATGCAACTTTAATATGATGATACATTAATTACATTCCATGAAAATGTTTAAAGATATAAAATATCTCATGACATGTTCGTTCATTTTACATAACACTTAAATGCAGCAAACATAAAAAAGTCTTCACAAGAAGTAGTACAGTATGCAATCGTACCTATGTAATGTAGATCTATGTAATATTTTTCTTGTTTATAGTATATACATGGGAGTTTTTTAAAGCGTTATTAGAATTTCAGGCTCCTGTGGTTTTGCTTAAAACCAAGCTTGCTGTTTTTTTCTTTTTGGTAGTAATGGTGTCTTTACTGTTGTTTGAAACTTTGGGCTCAATTCAATGGCCCAATTCAATCAATATGCGAGAAATTCGGAGAAATTTACGTCGATTATCATTGATAATACCCCACCATTTGGACCACTGTAAGTTATTTTGTCGGAATATGATGTGTATAATTAACTTTTGATTTTTCGTTTGTTTTATAACAATAGATCTAGTAAAATTTTAACATTATTACGAAATTTTATTGATAACGATTCGCCCTACTGACGACTCGTCCCACTTAAGTGACGATTCGACCCATTTTAAAAACAGTTACTTAAAAGGCCCTGAAGGTTATTTAAATTAAGACATGATAAGATTAAATGGTTGTTTAATTTAAATTTGTGAAATAAACTATTCTCTGACGTCAGTCTGTCAACATTTCCTTCGTATCCAGTCACTTACTGATGTGTTTTCCCAAATACTGTGAAAGAATGCAACTCTTTACCTCCAGACCTCCAGACATTTTAAATAATAATGAAAACACCCTTAAGGCGACATCAAGTTCATTCACAAAAAATCATAAGAGAGGGTATCATGTTGTCCTAAGCCGCTGGATAATTGCAAAGGCCGGTGTAAACAATGTCTATGATGCCGCACCGTATACAGATCAAGATGTATCTAACTTTAAGAACAGTTTAAATGATAATAAATAAACATAGATAAATAATTTTGGTCATTTTAACTGTTAGGTTATCAATATTATAACTGATAATGGTTTGCCCCAGTTCAGTAATGATCTGATGATTCGTCCCACTAAAGTTATCATCATGGCACCATGTTCTTAATCATTTTCCTTTAAAAAAGTTTAAGTTTGAATTATATTTTTTGTATTTGCTGAAAGCTACAAGTCCTTCCAGTTGATGGTATGCATCTAACTTAGATTCTAATAGTCCAAGTATTTAGACGTAACCGCGGATTTGAAGCTATTTTTACATGGGTCAAATCCGCTTTAACATCTAAAGATATCTATTTAAAAGTCCATAGCAAAATGAAAAACAATAAACATGCACAATCATTCAAACTTCCCATGTAAAATGTTACAAGTAAGCATAACCCTACCACAAATGTGTATTTTCCTTCTCAAAAAACAACTAATTCAACTTTAAACAATTTACTCAATCCCATGTAAAAATCATTTAAACAGCCTCCATATTGGTGTGTTCTATGCATTGCGGTGTTTACAGGAACCAAATTTTTTAGACGAAATTTTTAATGTCTGTATCTGCCAGCACCTTAAATCACAACAGGAAAAAATTCGTTCAGACTTATTTCGTATTATTGTTTTTGAGTGACGTCACAGTGTGACCAGGATTTTTCAATATGGGGGTCAACACAAAATGTCTTTTATGTGTCTTCTTTAAAATACGGATAAATAAACTATTTATCGTGAGTAATTTTTGCATATTCATACAGTTTTTGAGAAAACATGCTTCTGTGTTTTATGCAATCAGTTGCTTTTTGTGATAAATAACATTTTAGTTGTGATTTACCGGTAAATTCAAATCGACTCGAGAAGATGTTGATTTGTGCTGTGGGAAATGAGCCAGTTATGGAAAGGCTTCGCATTTTCCTATAAACGTCAAACTGTAAAAAAAGAAAATGCGATGTCTTTCAATGAAGGACTAAGATTCTAAGTACTGCATCTGTTTGTTTTAGGCTTTCAAGAAAGTTTCAATTGTTCAATATATCAGATGTTACGGACTTGTTTTATATATCAGATGTAACAGACTTGTTATAGTTTTATGTTGGTCAAGCCAGACGTCTAATAGTTATTGTCTATTGTCAACAATCATTTTCTTCTCTGAACTAAAGGGCAGATTTACCTCAAATTTGGTCTGTAGCATCCTTGTGACAGTCACACTTTAATTTGCTCATGCCATTTCAATTGGCCCCTTTTAGGGGTCTCTAGAGCTAAAAAAAGAAAAAAAAACATTTAGACATCTTCTAAAGTACCAATTAATGGGTGATCACCAAACTTTGTCTGTAGCAATCTTAGGTAGTCTTTAATCAAGTTTGCTAATAATAAAAAGTAATATTAATTTGATTGGCCCCTTCTAGGGGCAGCTAAAGCTAAAAATAGAAAAACCTTTGAACATCATCTCCTACTGAAATAATTGATGGATGATCACAAAACTGTCTGTAGCATTCTTTGGTAGTCTTTTATCAAGTTTGCTCATATTAATTTGATTGGCCGCATTTAGGGGCAGCTAAAGCTAAAAATAGAAAAACCTTTAAACGTCTGCTTCTACAGAACTAATTGATGGATGGTCACCAAACTTTGTCTGTAGCATTCTTAGGTAGTCTTATATCTTTTACTGAAAAGCAGCTGTTTCTGGTGAGTGACTCAGTGCCATAATGGTCCTCTTGCTATAGTTTATGATGGTCAAGCCCGAAGAAGTGGTGAAAGCTTGCCAAAAGATAGGGCTTTAAAATGGTTTAGCCCTTCATCAGATAATTAGAGCCAAGAATCATTATTTTTTCAGATTATAAATTTCTACTATGAATAACTTGGCTTTAATATATGATATATTTAAACTTTTTGTTATAATAAATAATAGATATTTATTTGGCCACACAATATAATATGCATAGTGTGTTATTTGGCTTCAAAATATAATTTGTTTATGCTATTTTTTTGTTTTTGTTTCAGGAGAATTAAAATTGTTACAAGCAAAGAACAAGTACAAACTGTATAAATAGATTTACCTTTTGAGATCTACCGTATTACCAGTTTTTTTTTAGTAAATTTAACCCAAAATAAACAAAAGAAATAGAACTGTACAAACAAGACAGAATTGTTTTGCATTATGCAACAGACATCGACAAAAATATGTAGCTAGTATATATAGCAGAAATTTAAAGCAAGAATAGTTAGATAACTAACAGAATGGCAGCAAAATATTCAAGGCTATCAACAGAGGATCCGGAACAAGGACAAGTTGCATTTGATTTTTCATCCACTCAATGTTATTCATCCCAGTTCACAACTTCCCCAAATGATTATAAGTCCATCTATACATACTCAAGAGGTGACATGCAGCTCAGGGAAGACCATCTTCATCATACAGTTGGTAGGTCTAAAAATTTTAGCTTGTCTCTAAGAAAAGGTGATTGCTGTGTCAGCACTGTAATGCCTAAACTTTAATTTAGCCGATTATTTAATCATTATAAAAGTTATCAACATGAAACTTAGAATCTTGCTTACTATGCAAGGTATATGTACATTTGTTAGACAATGGGCATGTAATAAACATTCAGGTCTCCATATATATGTTAATTAAAAATATATTAATAATATTGAATATGTTCCCGCAATTATGACAGCTATTCATCATTTAGATATAAAACTTTGACTTAAAAACATTGAACTTTGGTGGTCATATTTTAATGAAGTTCTTAATATTGATTTTTATTACAGTAAAGCAGTCATTTGTGAGCAGAATTTGCAGTTTGCTTATAACAGCCATTTGTTTTATACTCATCGTCGTTACATTTCCTATATCTGCTTGGATAACTATAAAGGTATCTAATTAAATGATTTAAACATGATTGTATGATTGTAACCATTTAACAAGCTGTATATTCTACCTGGCTTGAGTAAGGTTTATTTTCTTTTATAACTGATAGGGAAATTAATAATTATAAATATTTAGTCAATGGTAGAAATTGTATAATGTGTTTGGCTTTGATGTCTCTTGGCTGACAAAGGTTATGTTACTTTATTAAAAAGGTACATTACAGAGCTTTGCATACTAGCAATACAAACTATCATCTTGGAAGTCACATAGTGAAATATTTTTTTGGTTGGTTTTCTATTCACCAACACTCTATGGTCATGGCAAATTTACAGCAATACTGGTGAGAAAGACGTCGGGGTGCCCCTCTCTGTATGATGTCAGGCACAAACAAGCACCTCATAGAACAACTGATGTTCTGTAAGCTAGCTAGATAGCTGCCTAACATGAAAGATCCAAAGGCCCTTGTGGGATTCAGTCCCCCAGCAGTGAGGCGCAAGTGGTTTGAAGTCAACAACAATAACCACTCAATCACAAACATCCTCAGTAAAGTGAAATATGTCAATATCATTATCAATATACATGTATATGTATATATCATTTTAAACGGGTAGTTTTTAATAACAGGTGCCTTGTCAGATTGGTTTTAAGAAAATTAGATACCAATACAGTGTATAGATGTTTCAAGAATATTTTTAGTAGATTTTTTCTTTGATGCTTAATAATATGTATATGCAACTTGAATGATAATTAATTTTGTAATATTATTATTGTGCATTTTTCAGATTGTCTCAGATTGTGAGAGATTAGTAGTTTTCCGTTTAGGGCGTCTACAAGGTGTTAAAGGACCAGGTAGGTTATAAGTAATGAGTCATAAAATGGACCTTAGTGGAGGTAATTTAGTACTTTGATGTCAATGGGAGTGTATACTTATGTTCTAGAATTCTTTTGTCCAGAATTACATATAGGGTTTATTGTGTTTGTTACATTGTGAATTCTTGCATAGAAAGCTTCATACTCAGGTAGGTATTCATAGACGAAGAGGAAAACACAATAATCATGTTTGCACACGCCATTGTTGCATGACTTACGGTCCTAGGTCAAAATAGCTTACAAGAATGATGGCACGGTAGTTTCATTATTTAAACAAATGGTTTCTTTATACGAAAAATAGATAAAACACTGAATTATGGAATTAGCTGTTTACTTTTATGCAAGAATAGCACTAATGCACCATTATGTGTGCATTAACATCTGCAAATGCCCTCAGACTGATTAAATTCCTTGCACTATGGGTTCGGGCTTTCAAATTTAAATGCGTCCTTGTACTTCTGCAGATGTTAATGCAAAAAAAAAGGTGTAATAATAGAGAGTTCTTGACAAAGCTACATTACAGCTGTAAACAGTAGCCCATAATGTACTAGATATATAGGTGTGTTTCGATGTAAGATTCTTATATATTTTGACATGTTGTGTTGCAGGGATAACATTTGTGATGCCATGTATTGACAATGTAAAGAAGGTGGATGTAAGAATGAAAGCTTTTACCGTTCCTCCCCTACAGGTAAATATGAGCTGTGTCATGACAAAACCACCATCAAATTTTCGCGATCTTCACGGTGACATTCGATCTACGAATTTATGTTCAGCGCGAATATTTCTACACCAATAATTTCTTAATAGTCATATTTTCGCGCATCTATAGAACAATGTATATCAGTGTGTTCACGGCTGTTATTAGTCTGGTATCCTAGGCACTTTTAAAGAATGATTTTACTGTTGTGTAAACAGTACATGTAACATTCAGCTCTGTATATAAATCAGTTTGCTAGTGTATTATTGTTTGACTGATGTGATTATCGGATTCTTTTATAAGTAAATACATGTTTGAGCAATACTGTTGCATCACGCTTTTTATTTCATAGTCTGAGTCATAAATGTCTTGACATCTGATCAGATAATATTTTGTTTTTCTAAACAAACAATACAAATAACACAAACACAATTACTCAGTCAACAATTTATCGAAATCGGTGAAAAGATTATGGTCTAATTCAGTGTTGTTTAAAACTGTGAAAAATCACGCATGTTAATGGATATTCTTTGTTTGCAATAATCTGTCCGATAGACAAATTTAATGTCTTTGTTCTGTACAATAGCGTATTGTTTGACAACAGGTGTTGAAAATAACTGTGAAGTCCCACAATGATTTCAGTAAAAAGTATGTAAAATAAAAGAAGGCTGCTTGCAAAAACCATTCCCTTATTGTGAAAATGTAATTTTCCTTATTTTTTAACCTGATGGGTGTACGCGAATTTATGATTTTCAGCAGTCGCCTCCGCGAATTCAAAATAGCGCGAATATTTGTATATACCCCCAAAATGGACCTTTCCGCGAAAATTTTCTTCCGCGAATTTAAATACACATACAGTAATGGGTTTGCGACCAGCATGGATCCAGACCAGCCTGGCATCCGCACATTGTGATCAGCATCCATGCTGTTCACTGTCAGTTTCACTACTTGTTAAAGGGCTTTTAAGCGAACATCAGCGATCCTGATCAGACTGGGCGGATGTGAGGCTGGTCTGGTTCCATGCTGGTGGCAAACGCATTGTGTTGGTTTTGTCATCATGTGTGGCTCAAATAAATAATTTATACCTTTTAGTCCTTTTAGTCATTTGGCGATTGAAACAAAGATTGGTCAAGTCCATTTCAGATATTTAGCAATTGGCTCCAATTTCAAATAATGTAAATAGCATGTCTGTGATGAAATTATTCTTCTGTAGGATTACATGTAGGCAATGAAAACAGAAAGATTGGCAGCTTGGCCTATTGGTTAATGTCAGGCTAGTAATCTAAGGATTGATGTCTGCTTGGGTTCAAACCCAGTCGGGCAAGCTGTTGTTTCTGTGAGCAAGGAACTTTGCACTGATTACTTAGTTAAGTACTGGTTCTTCCTAGGAGCGGATTTGAGAGTGTTTCAATATGCTTATAGCTTCCAACACAAACTAAAACTTTTATCAACTAGAACAAAAAAAAGATGGCAGAATTTTTTTTTAGGTTATTCATTACCTTTATTTCATTTAAGTAAGTACAGTGTCACTGGATATTTGTCAATGAGTCTTTTTTTGTAAATTTCAGATACTGACATCAGATGCAGGAATTATAGAATTTGGTGCAGATGTGTACTATCAAGTTACTGATGCCATGAAATCAGTAACATCAGTGCAGGATTTAAACTCGCAGTTACGTGGTCTTGTGAGGAACCGATTGATGAATACTCTCACCAAGTTTGATCTACAAGTTATTGAAGATAAAAAAGATGAAAATGTGGCAAAAATTGTTGTAAGTTGAATTTTTTGTAAAGAAATATTTATAAAGAAATAAATATGTTAAATTTTTTCCCTGAGTATTTTCATGGCCTGAACAAAAATGAAGTATGAAAATTTACAAAGGTTTAATATAGTTTGATAGAAATTGGTTGTATGCTTGAATCAGAAATTTTGTCTGGGAAATGTCATGCAGAAAATTTAAAAGTGTATGTTAAATCTATTAACTTTTTCACAGGCAGAGTGTAACAATTCAGCACATGGCTGGGGTGCTAATATTTGCAGAGTTGATTTGTAAGTACAATCTTTTAAATTCTTTATCATCTCTGTCTCTTGATTTATTCCTACCACAATCCATTATTTAGAATAAAGATAAGTGGTGTTAAAACTTTACTTAGGTCAAGCAGTTAACAAAAACAGAACCTATTAATTGAAATTTGTGTTGATACATGCATTTTAATGCTATTCAGAACTGAATGAAAAAATGCATAAAGGGAAAGAAAATAAAGTAAATAGACTGAAAATCCAAAAGTTCTAATAAAGGATTGAATTGATAATTATGACTTATTATAAAATGAATTATTGTTTAATTTTGTTTCATTTCTTAAATGTTATATTTACCCTGTAGCTCAAAGTTTAAAGTAAAAAAATGTTAAAAATGAGTACAGACAGATGAATTATTTGATCCTTTCATCTTTGATCTATTTGTCAAGTCGTTTTTGTTTTCTTTGAGCATCTAGTTTTAAAAAAGAAGCATTTGAAAAATACTTAAACAAATTTATATTTATTTGTTAAGTCTAACCATTCAAATATTCAAGGTTATGTTATGTGCAGTCCGTGATATGTATGTATATTTTAGATCTCCAATAAAAGTGTTACAAGCAGCTAAAACTGGAGCAATTCTACCAGGACTTGGTGGTCAGGAAGGACTTTCACAAGTATTTCAGCATCTGGCACAATCATTCCTATCATCAGGTATGTCTATATATATATAAGTTTTTATTTTCAATATGCTCAGAGATGAGCTTTTCAGATTTTGTGATGGCTGTGTGTTGTCAGTATTAGTCGTAATCAACTATTTCTTCTATGATTGATCGGTGACCCTATACTAAAGTTGTATTAATGGTTCCAGTCTGATGCATAAGTAGGTCATAGGAGCTAAAAATAGCCTTTAAAAAGAAATTCTTCGAAAATCTTCATCTCGGAAACTTAAATGCCCAGAGCTTAGATATTTTTCATATAGCATCACCTTGTGGTCCTCTTTAAAAGTTATATAAATCATGACCCTGAAGTAAAAATGGAAAGACTGAATGATGAATTACTAAAGATTTGAACAATAAACTGTATTATTGTACAAAAAAGCAAGAAATATATTATATTTATTTTCATTCTAACACACTAATAGAGAGAGAATGAAAAATAACATGTTGTCCTATATTTAGTGAAATATTTGATATCTATTTTCGTTATAAGTATTATAAAAGATGGCAGGTAATTGAAGGAATAAAATATAAAAAAAGAATTCAGTCATTAGAGAAACTTTCTTTGGGAGTAGATATTGACACCATTATTTGCTGCTTTACATTTTAGTATAACGATTGTCCTTAGATAAATCTAGAGATGATATAAAATATTTATATACTTATGTAGTAGTACTAGAATATAATATAATTATACAACATGTACATCTTCATACTATATAAGATAAAAAAATATATGATCCTGAGTCTGTGTTTACATTTCTTCACCAATAAAACCGTCAGAAAAGATCTAAGACTATAACAGTATCAGTGTGACGTCAAACCTAAAAAAATTTAGGAAAAAAAATAATAATAAAGATATATAATATTATTCAGGCCAGGGACAGAGGGGAACCAGTACCATGCTACCAGCAATTAGTGAGTCTGAAGAAGCTTCAGGTGCTGCCATTGCTATGGAAGATGTTACATTGGTTCCCGGTATAACACCCGCACATCTTGTAGAGCTGGTTAGAGGTGTGCTGAGTGAGTCACTAGTGAGAACTGTTGATGCTGTGTACCAGTTTAATCTCACCGGTAACAATGGAGGAACATTTTATTTGGATTTAAAACATGGTAAGTGCATTGGATTATATTTTATTATGTCTCCCCCACCTCGGGGGGAGACATATTGTTTTTGCCCTGTCCGTCCGTCAGTCCGTCCGTCAGTCCGTCAGTCCGTCCGTCCATTCTTCGTTTCCGGACGATAACTAGAGTTCCTTTTGACCTACAGCTCTCAAACTTCATAGGATGAATGGTCTTATTGAGCAGATGATCCCTATTGTTTTTGGGGTCAGTAGTTCAAAGGTCAAGGTCACAGTGACCGTTGGTCAATTTCTCGTTTCCGGATGATAACTAGAGTTCCTTTTGACCTACAGCCCTCAAACTTCATAGGATGATTGGTCTTATAGAGCTGATGATCCCTATTGTTTTTGGGGTCAGTAGGTCAAAGGTCAAGGTCACACTGACCGTTGGTCAATTTCTCGTTTCCGGATGATAACTAGAGTTCCTTTAGACCTACAGACCTCAAACTTCATAGGATGATTGGTCTTATTGAGCAGATGATCCCTATTGTTTTTGGGGTCAGTAGTTCAAAGGTCAAGGTCACAGTGACCGTTGGTCAATTTCTCGTTTCCGGATGATAACTAGAGTTCCTTTTGACCTACAGCCCTCAAACTTCATAGGATGATTGGTCTTATAGAGTAGATGATCCCTATTGTTTTTGGGGTCAGTAGGTCAAAGGTCAAGGTCACAGTGACCGTTGGTCAATTTCTCATTTCCGGATGATAACTAGAGTTCCTTTTGACCTACAACCCTCAAACTGGGGGGAGACATATTCAAAATTGAATACCTGGTTAAAAACAAACAGTTTAGGAAGCATCTTCTCATACAACCTTAACAATAGAAACCATCCATAGACAGCCTTCATTGAAGTGACTACCGGGTATTTACATTATCTTATCTCCATTTCCATTCCTGTTTCCATTCACAGTTATTCTCAGCAGTGGGGGAGACATGCGCTTTTTTACAAAAGCATCCTCTAGTTTTATTGGATCATTTACAGAAGTTTTAAAGTTACTCTCTGGGAGAGATGCTCTCATTCATGAGTAAATGATTCAAAATATATAACTTTTTACAGTCAGTCACATGTCTGAAGCAAAAAAAAAAAGAGAATAAATATATCATTGTATTTATATTATAATGTGGCCGTAACATATGTTCATATGTAACATTGTATTCTGCTTTACTACTGAATCTGTTATCTCAGTTGTCATTTATCAATATGCATTAATGTTTTTTAAAATGCAAAGAATAATTTATAAATCATATATAAACTCAGTTATACAGTGATTTTTTTTCAATTTTCAAAACAACCTGTGGCTTTCTGAAGGGGAAATATAGCGCGATAAATCAGAAAAGGGGAAAATCAAATTCTAACAACTGGGAATGGTTTACCCACACATGTTTTAGAATATTCAATTTCAATTCAATTTAAAATCCATGATACATGCAGGGGTGTTTTGTCTTAAGCTGATTTAAGTTAGCTGCTGTTAAGTCATGGCTCTAGTGAAAAATGTGCAAAGGGCATTTTAGGGGGAAAATAGAAGCATTTTAAGGGGAAAATATACCTATTTAGGGCTAGGGGAAACAGCCTTTATTCGGCTGTAAACTGCAGAAAAAAATCACTGTTATAAGACAGGATATATTCTCAGTTAAGAGTGAAATAAATAGTTCTTTATCATACCTATAACTAATACAACATAAATGTAATATGGATATGTATTTGTAAGGAAACAGTATATTTCCGAGACTTTCCTGCTATTAAAGGGAAAAGATCTCTGGCCTACATTTGGAAACATTTTGCAACAATTTGGGAAAAGTTTTTTCATGACTTTTTAGTCTTATTCATATGTATGATCAAATAAGTTGTAATAACTTAGAGCAAATAATTCGAAAACCAGTTCAGTTTTCATCAGAAGTTAAAAAAAGGTTGACTCTGTTAGCATCTGTTGGAAATATTTTATGAAATTGTGAGAAAAAAAACCCATATCAGTTTTCATCAGAAGTTAAAACAGGTTGATTTTATTGGCAGCTGTTGTGAATATTTTTAGCTCACCTGTCACAAAGTGACAGGGTGAGCTTTTGTGATCGCTTTTTGTCAGGCGTCCGTCAAGCCGTCCGTCCGTAAACTTTTGCTTTAAATGACATCTCCTCATAAACCACTGAGCCAATTTCATCCAAACTTCACAGGAATGTTCCTTTGGTGGTCACCTTTAAAAATTGTTCAAAGAATTTAATTCCATGCAGAACTCTGGTTGCCATGGCAACCGGAAGAAAAATCTTTAAATATCTTCTTTTAAACAACCCTAAGAGCTAGAGCTTAGATATTTGGCATGAAACATCTTCTAGTGAGTGTCTACCAAGTTTGTTCAAATAAAAGCCCTGGGGTCAAAATTGGCTCCGCCCCAGGGGGTCATTGATTTTCCCTATATGCATATAGTAAAAACTTAAAAAATCTTCTTTTAAAGAACCCAAAGAGCTAGAGCTAAGATATTTGGCATGAAACATCTTCTAGTGATTGTCTACCAAGTTTGTTCAAATAAAGCCCTGGGGTCAAAATTGGCCCAGCCCCGGGGGTCATTGATTTTCCCTATATGCATATAGTAAAAACTTAAAAAATCTTCTTTTAAAGAACCGTAAGAGCTAGAGCTTAGATATTTGGCATGAAATATCTTCTAGTGAATGTCTACCAAGTTTGTTCAAATAAAAGCCCTGGGGCCAAAATTGGCCCCGCCCCAGGGGGTCATTGATTTTCCCTATATGCATATATTTAAAACTTAAAAAAATCTTCTTTTAAAGAACCCAAAGAGCTAGAGCTAAGATATTAAGCATGAAACATCTTCTAGTGAGTGTCTACCAAGTTTGTTCAAATAAAAGCCCTGGGGTCAAAATTGACCCCGCCCCAGGGGGTCATAGATTTTCCCTTTATGCATATAGTGAAAACTCAAAAAATCTTCTTTTAAAGAACCCAAAGAGCTAGAGCTAAGATATTTAGCATGAAACATCTTCTCATGAGTGTCTACCAAGTTTGTTCAAATAAAAGCCCTGGGGTCAAAATTGGCCCCGCCCCAAAAACTTAAAAAATCTTCTTTTAACGAACTCAAAGAGCTAGAGCTAAGATATTTAGCATGAAACATGTTCTAATGGGTGTCTACCAAGTTTGTTCAAATAAAAGCCCTGGGATCAAAACTGGCCTGCCCCGGGGGTCATTAATTTTTGCTTATATGTGTAAAGCAAAAACTTAAAAATCTTCTTTGAAAAAACCCAAATTGCTAGAGTTTAGATATTAAGCATGAAACATCTTTAAGTAAATATCTACAAAGTTTGTTCAAATAAAAGCCCGGGGGTCAAAACTGGCCCTGCCCCAAGGGTGTCATTGTTTTTAACTATATGTGTATAGTAAAAACTTTAAAAATCTTCTTTTAAAAAACCCAATGAGCTAGAACTTAGATGTTTAGCATGAAACATCTTCTTATGGGTGTCTGCCAAGTCTGTTCAAATAAACAAATAAAAGCCCTTGGGTTAAAATTGGCCTTGGGGTGGGGGGGGGGCTATATACGGGTGAGCGACCTCAGGGCCATCATAGCCCTCTTGTTGTGAAATTGTGAGAGAAAAAAACCCATTTTTTTATTGGAAATGAGCCCTTATATGTGCCTGTTGTGATTGAATGAAAATACCATGATTTCTTAATCATAGACATCTTGTGCCATGTGTCTATTTTTCTCTAAAGACATTTATGTCTCTTTTATCAGGGGTCTCATATTTGTCCCTTGTGATAGAATGAAAATGTCATGATTTCTTGTCATAGACTTCTTGTTTCATGTTCTTATTTGTTTCTTCTACAAGACATTAATGTATCATTTAAATCTCATCCTGAAAATATAGGAGCTGGATATGCTGGTGAAGGATCTACACAAAACCCAGATGTCACACTCGACCTGTCGGTGAGGGACATGCAGAGTATGTTTGCTGACCAGCTTAAACCTTTACAAGCCTACATGAGTGGTAGACTGAAAGTGTCGGGTGACCTGTCAGCAGCCATGAGACTTGAGGAAGTAATGGATAAAGTTGTCAATAATACAGCAAGTAGTTCTGTTGCTGGACATACTGTTGTTAATATTTAGTTTAGATCTGTGCAAATTATATGACAGTTTAGTTGTTAATTCAGCCCAATGATAGGTCATCTTCAAGGTAAAATCTTAATCTCTTTTTCTTATCTTAGACTTACTATAGTTATACAGTAAGTTATTTACATACATGTACATTTTAGGTTAAATATTTGTAACTTAGAAGTATTGGCATATTTAATGTAGTGGAAATACAACAATCTAGCCGTCAGTCGACTAGTTAATTGTTTCTCCCAAAGAATCTTGAAGGTTATCAAATGAAATGACTTCATTATTACAAAATCTGATTTACTTAACTTTCCTACATATTAAAAAGAATTTTAGTTAAAAATTATTATGCAGGTCAATAATTATTAGTTATTTGAATCAAATTAAAGTGACAGTATGACTCATTTTTTCGCTTTCAACTTCAGCTGAATTAATTATATATTTCAAAAGATTGACTTTCATAATGGTGATCGACCAATGATTGATAATGAATAATGTTTAGGATAAAATATAAAAACTTCCTTAGTTATAAAAAGACTGCCACACTCTTTTTAAAAATTGACCTCTACTGATACATTCTGAATGATATTCCTAGAAATTTGTGTGGGTCACATGGATTATTGACTTCTTTTGCATACTAAAATATTAAACTGAACACAACTATGTAAAGTTATTTGGAATTTAACTTGAGCACTTACTATTTACATCTGGATGGGCATAATGTCACTTTAAATTGATTTAGAAGTGTACTGTTGAAAACTTTTGAAAATGCAAGTTTATTGTGTTAATTTATTTGTAGAATTTTTGCAGTGAAGGTTTGACATAAATGTTTTAGTGTTTATAACCTTGTTCTTGAGTTAGAAAAGCAAGTACCGTGTACTGTTTTACAGATTATTGCATATATTTATTACATATATTTCTTGTATTTTGATAATAATATAATGTTGAATAATATTTTACTTATTAAGCATTGATTAGAACAAAAACTTTTTAACCAGGTTTTCAATGAAAACTGGTTATTGTAATGCCAAAGACAGCTAGTAGGCAACTGGTCAGGCGTCAACTTTTGGTTTCCGCTCAATAACTTTTGTTATGTGGATAGCTTATATCAAAATGCAACTTGGGATTGCTACCCAGGTGTCTGTGAACAAGGTCAAGGTCACTTTTGGTTATAAAAAGAAATTCAGTTTTCATGTAATAACTTGAGTTTTCTTTGATCTTTAACACCAAACTTGCTGTGTGGCAGCTTATGTATCTGTGAGCAAGGTCAATGTCATTTGCTTACAATAGAATTTTCAGCCTCTATTCAATAACTCAAGTACACAAACTTCAGTGCAATTGACTTGAACATATTGATTCCTGGGACATCAAAAATTGGTCGTTGAAAACCTGGTGGTTTCGGCACTATGCGGTGCTCCTTGTTTGAATTATATATTGATATGTTAAACATGTACCGTGTGAGGTGATATCAGCTTACAATTATCAACTGTATAGAAGAAGGCCAGTTTGCAAGTCCTTGCAGTCAAGATAAGGTCATTTACCTTTGGCTGCTTTGATACAGATTTCTCGTCCTATATTTCTTATCCTTAAAATACCAGTGGACAGATTCATATTTAATGTAGAGTCTGTCCATTATATAAATTCAAGGGTGAATACATCAAAAGGAAAAAAAATTCCTATGGTTGTCTTTGAGCATTTCAATTACAAGTAAATGTAAAATTTGTTGATAATATTTTCATTGCTGGTTTTAATGCAGTTTGAATTGTTACATAATAATTCTTATATGTTTATACTTGTGAAAGGTTATTCAAAATATCTTAGTGATAAGTTGTTTTACATTTTATGGGGGATTAATATGTTATGAAATCCTTAAACTATTCTGCAAGGATGTCTTGATGTTTTTTCCTGTTTAATATGATAAAGACAATTCTGATGATAACAGAAATTTGGTACCATAACATATGAGGAATTCATATATATTAATATATAACCAAAGTTTCCTTTTTGAAGACTTGTACCTTTCTCTACTTTTTTCCTTTTCTCTGTCCTTAGCTTCAGCTGACATTTTGCTTCTCTGTTTTCTCTTTGTTTCACACCAGTACTCTCACATCTTTGAAATCTTTTGCGAGGTGGAAGGTTTCCCAACAGAACTTTTCTCTTTCAGACGTTCTCTGTAAGCTCTCATTCTAATCTTGGCTTTTTCATTATAGCGTTTTAATTTTCCATCTGAAGACTTCCGATACTGTTTACTCTTTAAGGAATCTCATCTTTTGAATTCTGTGTAAAGTGTATCATCTTGTTTGAGCTTTTTTCGGTATTCCATACAATACTCCTTCGCTGTTTTTCCTGTTGTCGTAAACCTGGGTTTTCGCGGTTCCGCCAAGCTTACAGGGTTCTTTCAAATTATAGTTTTGGGCGTTATGTATATCTGTCAGGAGCCGACACCACTGGCTTGTTGTATGGTTTGCCAGGAACCAAATTTCCTCACAAGTGGTTGCAATTAAGACTACCCACACGCACAGTTTTCACTATTTATTATTCAAGTGTAAATATTTATAAGATTATATAAACTATAAAGGCTGGCATATTTTACAATGAACTGATTTGAAATTGACACTTCCTTAAGAAGTGTCAATTTCAAATCAGTTCATTGTAAAATATGCCAGCCTTTATAGTTTATATTTAAAATCTTTATAGTTTATATTTAAAATCTGCATACAACTCCACAGTTAAAACTAATACATGGTTGATCCCATACATAAAAGTAAATGTAAAGTCCAATTCCTGTTTATGCAGTTCCAAAAATGACCAAATTCAGTATAAAGTTCATAATCATCGGCAGTAGAATAAAGATCAACATATTCATTTATTCAAGTTGAAGTTCTAAAACATTGATGTTCAAGACAGTACATTAAATTCAAAATGATTGTCCAAAATCTGTAAGATTGTAAATTATCTAAGTGTCCAAATTAAATGTTAATATTTAATCAATTACCAAAGTAATTAAACAGCAAAAAATCCACAGTTAATCTTAGTCTGTTCTATCTCTCCTGATCTCCTGATAAGCCCTGTGCAGCCCCTTTTTATAATGGTCTTAAGAAGAATTGTAACTGGCTAATTTGCACAGGCCAATTAAAATTAGTTTAACATATTAACACATAAAACATGTAAAACAGCAAAATTGATTGGCTGATAAGCCCTATTAGGAGTTTGCCCTATTTTAGATTGACAGCTGATTGACACCTAAGGCATTGTTTACATAACAATTAGGCTCCACCCCTTTAATTCTAATCAAATGAATTTAAATAACTTGTATATTTTTAAACTCAATAAAATAAAATATAAAGCATGGAATCATAATCTACATAAAATTCTCTTTCTTATGGTTTAAGTTTCATGATGGAAAAGTAAGTATTAAGTGTTTTAAATTCTAGTCTAAACATTAACCGTTGCAGGTTTTATCACATAAAATATGGCTGGTTGTTATAGTAATATTATAACCAAATACAATAATAATAAAATGCAATATACATACAAAATCATGACTTTTCTTAACATTACTGTAAAAAGAATAAAATATGTATAGATTTATAAGAATGATAACTTATTCTGACATGTAACTATTATTAATCTAGCAGACAACATATGTAGGCATAATGTATGAATCACAAATGAATATGTACAATGTGGTAATTATACTTAAATGGGTCAGTTGTAATTAACACTTATCAAACAGATAAGACTTTAACACAGTAGCTAAAGACACTAGCCCCAGGCATGTGATGTTTCTTTATGATCCTGGTATATTGATACTGTGCATAATTGACACATGATAAGTGGCTTTTATAAAAAACATCAAATTATGTCAAAGGTATTTTAAAGTGGTACTACTTTAATTATCCAAAATTATCACAAGTGTATGAAATAAATGTTGTTGTTGTTGTATAAAAGAAATAATCACTATAAACAAAATTTCACTGATATCAGGTTTACAACAACTGCCCCCTCCTCAGAGGAGAATGCTGAATACTTATGAGGCATTCAATTCCGCCCTGGAATTTAAACACAAGTGCATATATATGCAGATACTGAATGCAATACTGTAAATATAATATCTTAATATATATAAACTTTAGAGAAACAAGATTAAATATATACATATAGTACACACAACTGTATTTACATAATACTATCCTGCACCTTAATCACATAAAATATACTTTTTTGAAACAAAGTGTTGAATATCATTGTTCTCCATAAGAAAAAAAATAAATCTAAATAGCAAGAGGGTATTGATATTTTTCCTGTTATATTCTAAATGAATATTTCTATTAATTATTCATAATTCATTATCTCACAGTCCAATATTGCAATGCACCCATATTTGACGGAAGTTAAGATACCAAAAAGTTTCTACTACATAATTTTATTAAACTGTTGGATTTACTACTCAGATGAGTCTTTAAGCACCCTTATATGAGCCAGTGAAGCCATAGCTAACATATTTCAATTTATTAAACATAGTTAAAAATGTACAATTTATTGAACACAAATTTAGCATTGTTAACAATACAAAACTTGTTTAATACATAAAAAGATAACAAAAGTTTTCCAGTGCATAAACTGTTAAATGCACAACACAAATGAAATCATTTGGTACCCTTACATGAGCAAGTGAAATATGATAAACAAGATCAACAAGGAAAGGCGGCTTTCAATGAAGGCAACCCCCATATGACCCAGCAACAAGAACCAGCGACAAGGAGCCCAGGCGGACCCCAAACAAAAACAGGACAGGGCAAGACAGAGCACGGACAGGTTAATCACTAAATGATAAATAATTTGCCATGTAGCTTTGAAAAAAATATTTCAATCTATTGAACACAGTTAAAAATGTTACATGATACATGAAAAGATAACAAAAGTTCTCCAGTACATAAACTGTTAAATGCACTACACAAATGAAATCATTTGGTACCCTTACATGAGCAAGTTAAGCCATGTAGCTAAAAAAATATTTACAATCTATTGAAATATTACATACAAAAGTTGTTTAAATACATGAAAAGATAGCAAAAGTTCTACAGTACATAAACTGTTGAATGCACTACACAAATGAAATCTTTTGGCACCCTTACATGAGCTTAGTTAAAATGTTTCGATGTAACAAACCAGCTCTGTGAACAATGTAAAAATCTATTTTTAGTAAAATACATGTGATGACATTTTAATTAACAAGAAGCTCATATAAAATCAACTGTATTCTGACTGATGGTTCAGCTATAGTGATGGGAATGTCTTCATAATTTGAAATGACTCCTTATTGGAACCTTTGTTATTATTTAGAATTTGACTAGTGCAGTTTACTTCCAACATTTAATTAAAGGTAGTCAGCGTGCTCCTCCTGGTTGATATCATTGCCATCAGAGCGTCTAGTTCCTGCTGTTCTCCTCCACGGAAACGCATGTAGAATATGGTTTTCTGGAGAATGTAGATAGAATAAGCAACCATAACCTCTTTAAGACATCCCTTTCTGATGGTTAAGGAGGTGAAGAGTGCCCTGTTGCGTCTTCTCTTGGCCATGCTTCTTCTCAATCTGAGCTGCTTGTACTGCTTGGACAAGATACTGTACTGGTCACAAGCTCGTGAGATGGAGTGCCAGATCTCCAGCAGCAAAAACCTCTCATTCAGATTGGAAGGCATAATGTGTCTGTAATTAAAGATGCGCATACATACAAACATATATATCTCCCTTTTTTAATTTTTATTTTATTTATTCTAGATTTAGCTATTACTTTATATCTTCTGTCTTATTTTTTATTACCATAATTAATAGTTTATATATATATATATATTTATACATTGTATATAGATATAGAGATGAATACAAATGTTTTTGTTTTTTCTTTTTTTTTCTTCTTAATGTTTGTTTTAATATTTATTTTCCTGTTTGG